CCCCCCCCGGCACAACTCAGAATCATATATCCATCAACATTAACGAGCTACTCAATATACTATGTCTCGTCTAATCCTCCTCATCAGCCTCGCCGTAGGCCTGCTGGGCAGCTTTTGCTTTGCGAGCCCGTCCAGGACCCATGCTGTGGCTGCACGGACTCACAAACGCGCGGACTGTACTCCCACCCTCACCGGGCTCGGGGAGAGTTCGTCGGCCGAATGGATCCTGGGTAAAAAGCCCACCGGACAGCAGGTCCGTGTATCCTTGAGTGCCGACAAGCAGGTCCTGCAGGTGCGATACCCGCCCTACAAGGACTACCAATATCAAACGGTGAGTGTCTGGCTGGGGACCAGTCGACCGACCGATACCAACCCCGGAGGCTATCCCTGGGGTTCGAACAAGGGTTCTCCGCGGTGCACGGTCTCGGGAGCCACCGCATCCTGTGATATCCCGCTGAGTGAGGCCCTGCCGAATGTCAACCTGTGCCCGGCCAAGACCATCTACATTGTGACGCATGCCAGCGTGAAAAGTCCCACGCTGGGTGCCGAAGGTGGGACCGCCGGCGGCCTTACGCAATGCATCAAGACATCTTGTAATCCCTGGTTCACCTTTTGGAGCTTCACAACCAAGTGTGGGTGCGATAATCCCCCGCCGCCACCGCCGCCACCGCCGCCGCCGGGGGACGGACAGTGGTGCGATTTCGGCTCCGCGTTCGGGCATTCAGCGTCCCCGCCAGGGGTCGCACTGGAGTGCAACCCACCCTGGGGATGGTCGAACCAGATCGACTCGGCCCCGCTCGGGGGAACGCTGTGGGTGGGCGGTCTCCCCAACTACAACGATATCAACGTCAACGCCGTCAATGTCGGGCCCTTCACGGCCTTTTTTGGGGACGGACAGGTCCATTTCAGGTACGTCGTGGACGTCGACTACCGACTGACCGCCGTCCATGCGCATGTCGCCTGTTCACCGTCCCTCACCACGTGTTCCCTGGACCAGTATGCGATCAAAATCGACGGTTTGGCGGTCCAGGAGTATGAGACCCCTTCAGTGTCTGTGGACTGCAACAAGCCGTATATCATTGTGCATGCCAGGATCCAGAAGAAGAAAACGGA